CTTTGGACTGCCTTACACTCATGATCTTACTTAGATATATGTTGCAGCACACCATTTAACCAATATAACAAGAATATATTTCTTGTGAGACATTTATCCACTATATTCTATTCATGGTGCAATATTAATTCACTACATTTACCCCCCTGTGATCCTGAAAAGGATCACAAAGTGAATCTACAGGTGATTTTCAAAGTGGAATACTATAAATGTGAATTCTCAAGAGTAACTGGTGATCATATATTTGCACACCAAAACTAAGAGTGAGACTAGAACACACTATAAACTAATAGTGAGTGATATAAGATGCTATGATGACCTGATAAAATGTAATAAAATGGAGAACGTCATAAAACAAAGAGGGAACCCCCCCTTGGCACACTTATGAGGACCTTTCCTCTTGCTTACTTTTATTGAAGAAGGATTTTAGGTTTTTTAAAGCAGCAATGATATGGGGTAGGGGAATGCCATGTCCAAGCAGCTTAATCACCTACTAGGCCATTGCAGTCCCCACCCAAAAGGTGTCATTGCACACCCATACATCAAACAAGTTGATGTTTAAATATACTCTATCATGCCTGGGCTATGTCAGGCAAACTTGTCGTCTAATGGTCAATAGACCGTCATTACAACCAACATAAGAGTAACCACATGGTACTCCCAGCACAGTAGTCGTACTGTCATATACCTTATACATACATCTTATATGTGCACACAGATACCTGTGTCAGTTATATTTAACATAGGTATACATAATCATTAATGTCCTTTATATCCAGTATAGTGTTGTGTTTGAGATTAATAATAGTTCGGGGCTCCTTGGGGGTTAGAAGGCATCATCCCCCATGGCCTTGCATCGGTATCTCCTGGAGCCTGCGGCCCTGGCAGCTGCTGCGATGTTGTGGTAGTAGCCATGCGCCCTTGATCAGTTGTCAGCTGCAGCAATTTCCCCTGTAAGGTGATTATGGTCTGCCGTGCCTCTTGAAGTTGACGTGTCAGCTCATCGCACTCTCGGGTCAACCACTGCATCTTTCCCTTTTCCCTGGTTTTGTATATGCTGCGGCGAAGTATTTCCAGTGGACGACGTGCGATAGGGTACATCAGACCCTTCATCATTTTTGAATAAACCTCCTTGCTCATAGAGATGATTTCAGGCTTTAGGTCGTCGATGGTGTGGTAGGATTCCAGAGGATGCGCCAAGAACCCTGCGATGTGACGATATTCCTCAGGGCTGAGCATCATGCCCGCGAAGAAAATGTCGGGCTGTTCTGGCGAAGAAGCAGGCCTTATTGCAGTAGGTTCAGTCGTCATCATGCCTGAAGTAGATGGCAACTCCTTGAGCAATCTGACGGGCTGTCCTTGGTCCTCCGGGTTCTCAGGACTAGCAGGGGTGCTGTTTGGGCTGAAATGGATCCTCAGGGCCCCAGGTGATGACGGGCTGGTCATTGGCTTCCCTCTAGGTGGTGGTGATTGATCATCAGGCTGCCTTCTAGGGGTCATCATGGGTCTGCTCCATCCCGGGGGTACAGTGCCTGGCCCCTCTGCTGGATCATCTGGCTGCCTGTTAGGAATATTGGTGCCTGCTGCTACATTTACTTGTGTGCCTACCGACGCATGTGTGAAGATTCTTCCTCTATCTACAGACTGTAGCCATTCCTCTGAGGGTACGGGGTGTGGTCTAAAATAAGCCTCCGCCATTTTCAATAATCTGCATTTTGGAGACATAGTGTGGCATAATTATGTATCATCATGAGGCATATAATCTCCTAAATCTATGAATAATTCAGCATGCAAATTACTATATCTACGTGAGTAAGTATGTGACTCATTGACATGCATATTAATATATATACATATATACAATTTTGATGTTTTAAAGAAATGCACGTACCTTGTGGGGGTGAGAGGAGATCATGGTAATGTTTTATATGTCTTGGTCTAACTGTATTTCTATAATTGGGAATTGACCAGTTACACTTACAATAAGTTTCGAGACCAGTCCCCGAATGAGGGGTATGACGCAGCAAATAACTATTAATATTATCAATATTATCGCTCCTAGTATCATCCCTGCTGCCTTAAGATATCTTCCCCATCCAAGCTTATTGAACCAATCCCAGAATCCTTTTAAATGAGTGTTCCAATTGGACTGCTGCACATGGTCATCTCTCATGCGTTTCATTTCCCGAAGGACTCCTGTGAGGCTGCCGTTAACATCTGTATGCATGGGGATTAAAGTACAACAATCTTCCCCGATATAATGACATATCCCGTGGTCCCCAGCCATGCGGGATTCCAGCATGAACCTATGTTGTAGAACCATTAGTGAAGTAGCATGCAATTGATCCTTCACTAGGTCTACGCCCTTTATTGTAAAATTTATAAACCTTTGTTGATTATACCATAGGAGATTCACCCATCTACGATTTCGGGCTATGTATTGCGCATTGGCAACTGATCCCCAGATTGGTGCTGCACCGACCCCTCTTCCGCTTTCTATCCAATCACTCCCTATGGCAACCTGTTCTTTAGGTACCCCATATGGGACCTAATCCCAGGTGATATATACCTCATCTGATGTTTTCCACTCGTGTTTAACGGGAGTACTTCTTTTAGTGCAATTGATTATTTCGTTAGATGTTTCATAAATGCCTATTGGGTCATTTACTATTAACTTCAGTTGTCCTGTCAGCATTACTGGTGCACAGATCCCTTCCCACTGAGCGGGTAGTGAGGCCAACATCTGTGTCTCATTGTGACACATCCAAAAAATGTCACCTAAAGGGACAGATCCCTTCGCCAGGCTCAGTAATGGGTACGTGGCCACAAATGCAGGTTGGAACTCATAGATAACGGCTCCCCCATCTGGTACTACTTGTTCAAAACGTATGGTGGCCTTGAGACTTGTTTCACAAAACTTAACGTGGCTGGTGATGTTCCCGTTTGCTGTCGGTGGGTACCATGGTTTTTTACTACATTTCACCATTTTGTCTGCTGTCCACATCAGACTAGAGGATCTATTGGTCACTTCTTCTATTTCTTTCCCTCGGGCGATACAAAACGGAAAAATCAGGTCAGCTGGTTTTTGTACTACATTACATCATTTATTGAGGAGGTCAGTGCTCTGGGGCATACCGTCCCGTCTTTTGACCATGATTCAATGCCTGCGGCCATATGCATGGCACAGTGAGAAAAACACCTCTCCGTTATTTCTGGGCAGTCACCTAATTTACTCCCGGGTAGAATCATAAGGGCTGGTAATTTTTTAACATTATAGCAAGCTTGACAATCATCTTTAGGGCGCTTTTTGGCTTTGAACATTTTCTGCACAGAGTACTGAATCCATTGTTGGAACATATTGGTCTTCCAGTGTGCCGTCTTTAATTTGTCTAGATCTCTTTTCCAATGTCATTATTTGTTTTGTTAGTATGTTTTGGCATATGTTTGTTTTGCATCTTACCTCAATGATCACCATCCCATCCCCACGGCAGTCCA